AAAAAAAAAAAAAAAAAAAGAAAAAAAGAAAATTATAACCATTTTTACCGAAAATGCCTGTTTCACAAGCCTCTCCACAGTAACACCACAGTTCCATGAGCTTAATGCACTAAGAATGGTTTAATGAATCTCCTGCTATAATTTAGGTTGGTTTCATATGCTTAAAATAATGATGGAATAAAACCCCTTGTATCATTGATGTCTTTGTATAAACTTTCCATTTCAATTAGTAAGATGTTTGGAGTCAGAAACACAGTAACTCACTCAATTACCTAAACATGTAGTATAAAATCAGGCAGAAAAGACTTCCCCTTATTGATCTCCATTTCTAGAATTTACCATGTACTTTGTGCACATTACTACGTGACTTCCACGTGCAGCTGCTCTACTCCTGATCTACAGAGAGCTGACGGTGCATCCAGATGTGACCCCTGAACAATCCCTGCTGCCCAGCAGCCCTGACACCACGGGCCCCACAGCCCGTCTCCATCCACGTCTGGGGTGAGCCCTTCCCAGGACCATGCCCAGTGAAGCCTCTTCCCAAGCTCATGTCACTGGGTCACAAGAGATGGAATCTAAGGGAGATGAGAGGGACTGAAGGAAAGCATGGGTGAGTGCCAGCAAACCTGTCAAACAGGACGCTTCACACTCAGAGAAGATTCCCAACTCCAAGGCACAGCATTTCTGAAAGGAAGGAGACAGAACAATCCACCGAGAATATCATCTCACCTGAGGAAGAGCCATCCCTGACTCCTTTGCTTTCCACTTCCTCTTCCGGGTTTCTTCCTCACGTATCAAGAGTCTTTAGAACATTCAATCCTGAATGTTATAAATATGTTGTTTGTTGCTCAGAATCAACACACCTCCTCCCTGTAAGACAACAACACATACAAAAGAGACCTCACCCTGAGGAAATACAGTCCCCTCTGCTGCCCACTGCATCAGGGATAATAAACTCCTACAGCAAAACTAAGTGAAGTTTTGACCTCTTTCTTCAGAATCTGCTCCCCTTCTGGAGTAGCCCCCACACACATGCTACAGCAGTGAGAAGCTTGGCTGGAATGAGCTCCCCTTCAGAGCACAGACCCAGCCCTCATCAAACCCCATTCAGATGCTGGGTACAGTGGCACCTGTAATCCCAGCACTCTAAGAGGCCAAGGCAGGTAGATTGCTTGAGGTCAGGAGTGCAAGACCAGCCTGGGCAACACGGTGAAACCCCATCTCTACAAACAACAGAAAAACTTAGTCAGGCATCGTGGTACATGTCTGTGTGTCTGTGGTCTCAGCTACATAGGAGGCTGAGGTGGGAGGATCACTTGAGCCTAAAGGGCAAGAGTGCAATGAGCCAAGACTGGACAAGTACACTTCAGCCTGGGTGATAAGAGTGAGACTTTATCTTTTTTCTTTTCTTTTCTTTGAGATAGAGTTTCTCTCTTGTTACCCAGGCTGGAGTGCAATGGCGCAATCTTGGCTCACTGCAACCTCCGCCTCCTGGGTTCAAGCAATTAGTGCCTCAGCCTCCCAAGTAGCTGGGACTACAGGCACGTGCCACCATGCCCAGCTAATTTTGGTATTTTTAGTAGAGACGGGGTTTCACCATGTTGACCAGGATGGTCTCGATCTCTTGACCTCGTGATCCACCCGTCTTGGCCTCCCAAAGTGCTGGGAGTATAGGCATGCGCCACCGTGCCCGGGGAGACTTTGTCTTAAAAAAATAAATAAATAAAGGCTGGGTATGATGGCTCATGCCTGTAATCCCAGCACTTGGGGAGGCCAAGGCAGGCAGACCATGAGGTCAGAAATTTGAGGCCAGCCTGGCCCAGAGATTAGCCTAGCCAATATGGGGAAAACCCATCCCTACTAAAAATATAAAAAAGAGCCAGTCATGGTGGCGGATGCCTGTAATCCCAGCTATTTGGGAGGCTGAGGCAGGAGAATTGCTTGAACCCAGGAGGTGGAGGCTGTAGCGAACTGGGATCTTGCCACTGCTCTCAAGCCTGGGCAGCAGAGCAAGACTCCAACTCAAATAAAAAAAAAAAAAAACTTGCTGCTCAATGATGGACATGGAGTCAATTTTAAATATTATTAAAACTCGGGTCAACTTTTCATCTTAGACCTCGCAGAAACTTTTCATCCCGCAAAGAAGGGTGGCAAGAAAAAAAGAGCCATTCTGCCATCCATGAGGCGGTGACCCGAGAGTACACCATCAACATTCACAAACACATCTACGGGGTGGGCTTCAAGAAGCGTGCCCCTTGGGTGCTCAAAGAGATTCATAAATTTGCCATCAAGGAGATGAAAACTCCAGGTGTGTGCACTGATGCCAGGCTCAACAAAGCTGTCCCGGCGAAAGGAATAAGGAATGTCCCGCACCATGTCCACGTGCGGTTGCCCAGAAAATGTAATGAGGGTGAAGAGTCACCAAACAAGCTCTATACTGTGGTTACCTGTGTACCTGTTATCACTTTCAGAAACCTACTGACCAGCACTGTGGATGAAAACCAATCACTCATCATCGTAAACATAAAATAAAGTTAAGATAGGACATGGTGGCTCATGCCTGTAATTCCAGCAGTTTAAGAAGCCAAGGTAGGTGCATCACCTGAGGTCAGGAGTTCGAGACCAGCCTGACCAATATGGATAAACATCATCTCTACTAAAAAAAAAAAAAATTAGCTGGGTGTTGTGGCACATGCCTGTAATCCCAGATTCTTGGGAGGCTGAGGCAGAAGAATCACTTGAACCCGGGAGGCAGAGGTTGCAGGGAGCTGAGATTGTGCCATTGTACATCAACCTGGGATACAAGAGTGAAACTTTGTCTCAAAAAAAAAAAAAACTTATAAAATTGCCATCAAAAACAAACAAACAAAAACCAACTCAGGCCCAACCTGAGTATGTGAAGGAGAATCTCTGGAGCATAATAGATATGAGTGTAAATTCCCCAGCACTCTAATGTGAAGCCACAGTTGAGATCCACTCGGAGGAGGAGGCAAGCCCAGCGCAGCCCTGCTGTCTAGCTCTGCTCTCCCCCGAGGCCTTGGATCATCAGTACTGAGGCAGTGGAAGGTGAAGAATACAAAAAGAAGCATGCAGAACAGCCAACATGGACCAGAGGTGGGGGTGAGGGTGTGGCTGGAGTGCTCATCGGGAGGTGGGTCACAGAAGCCCCCACTGAGAGGTGATATCAGAACAGACACCGGGGAAGGAGGCGTGTCTGCACCTGCAGCTGAGGGGCCAGCGAGTTCCAGCAGAGACACAGCCCACGTGAAGGCCTTGAGGCAGGAGCAACCTCGGCCCCAGGAGCAGGAAAGAGGCCTGCGTGGCTGGGGCAGAGGGAGCGAGGACACAGGCAGGAGATGAGGTCAGAGGGGTCCCGGGGACATAGATCAGGCAGGGGGCAGGTCTTCAAACATTTTTCTCCCACAACTCTAAAGAATTTTATAAAATAATGAATTTCAGCCCGGTGTGGTGGCGCATGCCTGTAATCCCAGCACTTTGGGAGGCTGAGGTGGGTTGATCACTTGAGATCAGGAGTTTGAAACCAGCCCGGCCAATGTGGTGACACCCTGTCTCTACTAAAAATACAAAAAATTGGCTCGGCATGGTTGCATATGCCATTAATTCCAGCTACTCAAAACGCTGAGGTAGGAGAATCGCTTGACCTCGGGACGCAGAGGTTGTGGTGGGCTGAGATCGCACCATTGCAGTCCAGCCAGAGCAACAAGAGCCAAACTCCATTTCAAAAATATAAAAAATAAAATACAAATACAAAAATTAGCTGGGTGTGGTGGCACACAACCATAATCCCAGTTACTTGGGAGGTTGAGGCACAAGAATGGCTTGAACCCAGAAGACAGAGGTTACAGTGAGCCAAGATCATGAAACTGCTCTCACAGCTTGGACAACAGAGTGAGACTCTGTTCCAAAACACAAAAACAAAAAAAGAAAAGAAAAAAAAGAGCATTTTTAATGTGATTGATGATGAGATATTAAAACCTGAGTCACGAAATAGAGACTGACTGATAAGCAAATGTGACTGGGGCAGAGGGAGTCGTGAGATGAGCACAGGCTCCCAGGAGGAGGCTGCACACAGGGCTGTGGTGCCACACTGAGGAGTCGGGCTTCTGTCCTGGGGAACATGGGAAGCTGGTGGAAGGTTCCCTACCAGGGACCAACATGACCTACTTTAGATTGAGCTGTGATAACCCTAATATGGAGAACGGCCATGGAAGATGGTCTCTGTCTGAGTCTACACCTATGTTTCTTCCATTCTTCTTCTTTTTTTTTTTTTTTTTCATTTTTGAGGTATTGCATGACATTGAAAATTCTAATTACAACTGGCCACTCCCCTGTCCCAGGAGAAAAGCCACACCCAGACACGCACTCTATTTTGCCAATCATTTCCGGGGCCAGGGTCACTCAGGTTGAGCTTTTCTGGTCTGACCTCTCATCCCCAAGTTGTAGGGAGAGTCACTGAGGCTCAGAGAGGGAGACATTCACACCAAGTTACCCTGAGAAGGTCTGAGATGAGTGAAAAGGTGTGCCTGAATTCTCACATGGTGGCCTGGAAGGGCTAATGGGAAGGGTTGGTGTTTATCACCCCAATCATTAAAAATTAGAGAACTATCTATTACATACCTGGGCTAAAGAAACTTATTTTGCAAGGTTCTGATGCCATTGATTCCCTACATTTAATTCTTCCTTACAAGAAAGTCACAGCAACATTTATAAAATGCAGAAGTGTATGAGGTTGGGCACAGCGGCTCACGCCTATAATGCCAGCACTTTGGGAGGCCGAGGTGGGCAGATCACCTGAGATCAGGAGTTCAACACCAGTCTGACCAACATGGAGAAACTCTGTCTCTACTAAAAACACAAAATTAGCTGGATACGGTGATACAGGCCTATAATCCCAGCTACTCGGGAGGCCAAGGCAGGAGAATTGCTTAAACACGGGAGGTAGAGGTTGTAGTGAGCCGAGATCGTGCCACTGCACTCCAGCCTGGGCGACAAGAGTGAACTTCGTCTCAAAAAACAAATAAATACATAAAATAAAATGCAGAAGGGTGAACATACAGCTATTGACCTTGGAAACAGTGAAAGAAGGTCAGTTGTACAACTAAGACATAAGCAAATTTTTTCAATCAAGAATACATGGGTGGCTGGGCTCGGTGGCTTATGCCTGTAATCCCAGTACTTTGGGAGGCTGAGGCAGGGGAATCACCTGAGGTCAGGAGTTAGAGCCCAGCCTGGCCAACATGGTGACATCCCATCTCTACTAAAAATACAAATAATTAGCTGGTCATGGTGGTGGGCTCCTCTAATTCCAGCTACTCGGGAGGGTGAGGCAGGAGAATCATTTGAACCCAGGAGGTGGAGTTTGCAGTGAGTCAAGATAGCAACATTGCACTCCAGCCTGCCCAACATTAGCAAAACTCTCAAAAAAAAAAAAAAAAAAAAAAAAAAGGGAGAGAGAGAGAATACATTGCTCTCACGTCCCTTTTTTTCTTTTGAGACAGTGTCTTGCTCTGTTGACCAGGTTGAAGTGCAGTGGCATAATCTTGACTCACTGCAACCTGGACCTCCTGGGCTCAAGTGATCCTCCTGCCTGGGCCTCCAGAGCAGCTGGAATTACAGGCACACACCATCACGCCCAGTTAATTTTTTGGTGGGGGGGCAGAGATGGGGGTCTCACTATGTTGCCCAGCTGGTCTCTCATTCTCTCCTTCTCCCTCTAGCTCTTTTCTTGTCATTTTTTCTGGAATTCTGCTCCTCATTTTGTACCGCTCTCCTCTTCTGCTGTTTATCCCCTTCTCCCCTCTATTCCTTCTCTTCCACCTCTTCTGCTCCAACCTGGCCACTTACTTAACCTCTTGTTGCTCCTTCTTAATCCTTCCACCGTCCTTAATCTCCATATATTTCCGCCTCTTCTTCCATCTCTGCATCTCCTCTGCTCTCCCTGTTAAATTCTCTCTTCCCTGTTATACCCCCGTACCCACTCTCTGGCACCCCACCTTCCCAGGTGTCCTCCGTGCTGTGGTTCCCTCTGTTCTGGCCACCAGCACCACTCTGCTCTGTCTGCCCCGGCTCCAAATCCCACCTCGTCTCTCTCACTCTCCTGAGCCTCCCTCTTGGCTGCCCCATTCCTGCCTTGCTTCGTCTCTCTGTACATCACGCTTTTCTCTACATTTCTCCACTTGCTTCTCTCTCTTTTTATTTTTTATTTTTTTGCTGTCTCTTGGCAAATCCCTCACCCATTCTCTACTGTGCCATCTGTTATGGGTCTTTCTGATTCTTTTCTCTGTCTCAGGTTTTCTACTTCTCTCTGTCTCGTGATCCCTTTGGCCCACACAATCACAGGAGGGTTTGGAGTAAGTTGTCTACATGCCAGAGAAGCACAATTCCCAAGGGCTGGAGCTGGGCAGGTAACAACGCCTCGTGTCACAGGACAGGCCCTGGGCACCTCCCCAACGCGGGCTCAGGGGAAGCGGTGACTACAGAGGGGAGAACTGGGGAGCAGCAGGGCTCCGCAGGATGAAGGAGGTGGGGGGCGACGGCGCCTTAAGACAAGGGTGGGGTCTGAAGGATCCCAGGACGAGTCAGAAGATGCTGCCTCCCCAGGATTGGGACCGTGGCGCTGGGCTTCAAGGGGCGACGAAGGCGAGGGTGGGAGGTGCCCAGGGCGGGAATCCACCTCTCGCGTGAGGACTTCAAAAAGAGCTAAGCCTGAGTAGTCAGAAAAAGGTTTTGAGCGGAAAAATTATGCAATAAAAAGTGTATACATTGCCCTATGGCAGAAAGACAGGAAAGGGGACCAGCCGCAGGGCAACTTTAAACCCAAAAGTAAGCGACCCCCACTCTCACAGGGATATCTCAATTTGCACTAGGTGGAGGACAGGGTGAGAATTTCCCGGTTTGTGGGGACCCTACTTCCCAGGTACACAAGCGCCGGGGACCTGAGAAGCGCAGACAAGACAGAGGGAAACTCACGCACCGCCGTGTGACCTTCGTTCCACGCGATCCCTTTCCGGGTCTGCGCGAACCTGCGTGCGCAGTGCTGAAGCCAGGCCTGGGCGGGACCCACGAGGGGGTGCGCAGGGTAGGGGCGGGGCGTGAGGCGGAGAGAACTAGCAGAGGGCGGGCCGTGGTGGGAGCTGTGTGTCTCAGCCTGGCTCCCAGCGCCAGTTTTTTGGGTTTGGAGGCGAGACCGGCCAGGAAGGCTGAGGGATGATTCAAAGGCCTTGGAATTGTCTGGAATGGAAATGCAAACTAGAATGTGAAATTGAAAGCCCTGCTTTAGCGGGACCTACAATTTCATGCTGACGGTCCACAGAATAGAAATCCTCTCCCTTTCTGTTCTCCATTCACTGCCATACAGCCTATGCCCTTTCAGGCAGGGACGCCACCGCCTGGGTCTTTGGTTCTTGTCCTGGTCTGGCTGTTTTCTTATATACTGCTTCCGCTTTCTAACTGCTATAGGCATTCCTGCGACAACAAACTACTATATAGTCATATAGAAGGATTATATAAATCAGCACCAAATGTGTCGGTACAGCTCCGACTACAATGCCTATATGATTATATAGACTACAGTATTTATATGACTATATAGAAAGATTATATGGAACTAAGTATTTTAGATAAAAGTACTCGCTGTGTTGCCTAAGCTGTATAGTGCACTGACACAGTATTAGCTCACTCCAACCTTCTCCTGTCGACCTCCCAAGTAGCTGGGACCACAGGTCGTGTGACTATAACTAATTTTTTGTACTTTTTTTTATAGGAGACACTGTATTTCACCCTGTTAGCCAGAATGGTCTCAATCTCCTGACCTCATGATTTGCCTGCCTCAGCCTCCCGAAGTGCTGGGATTACAGGCATGAGCCACCGTGGCCAGGCTGGTCTGGAACGCTTAACCTCTAGCAATGGAGGCATTGGGATTGCAGGCATGAGCCACCGCACCCGGTCTTTTTTTTTTTTTTTTTTAAATAAACAGGGCCTCACACTGTGACCCAGGGAAAAACACAGTGGCACAGTCTTGGCTCATTGCAACCTTTACCTCCCAGGCTCAACTTTTTTTGCCTAAGTCTCTTGAGTAGTTAAGATTAGAGGTGCTTGCCACGACACCCAGCTAATTTTTGTATTTTTAGTAGAGATGGAGTTTCACCATATTGGACAGGCTCATCTCGAACTCAGGTGATCCACCCACCTTGGCTTTCCAAAATCTTGGAATTACAGGTGTTAGCCCCGCACCAGCCTAGTTTTTGTTTACAGGAATAAGAAACAGGCCAAGTTGGGGGGCTTGTTCTGGTGATTCCAGCACTTTCAGAAGCCAAGGCGGGAGGGTCATGAGGTCAAATATTGAGACGATCCTGGCCAACACAGTGAAACCATGTCTCTACTAAAAATACAAAAACTAGCTGGGCATTGGGGTATGCACCTGTAGTCTCAGCTACTCACAAGGCTAATGTATAAGAATCGCTTGAAGCCGGGAGGCAGAGGTTGCAGTTAGCTGAGACCATACCACTGCACTCCAGTCTGGCAACAGAGCGAGACACCATTTCAAGAAAAAATATATAAAAATACAAAAATTAGCATGGCATAGTGGCATGCATCTATAATTCCAGCTATTCAAGAGGCTGAGGCACAAGAATTGCTTAACTGCAAGATAACAGATTGCAGTGAGACAAGATCACACTATTGTACTCCAGCCTGGGTGACAAGAGAAAGATT